CCATTACCAGCAAACTAAGCAGAATATGCAAAGCATATGAGCTATGGGCAAACTAAGAGTCTAAGACATAAATTCCATCACAGTTGAAATGTAAAATAACAAACGTTTTAAGCAGAATGTGCACCTACATTTAAGCAAGCTGGCGATTTTTAAATACAAATTTAGTCAGAGATGAAGTGAAAGTTATTTGAATAGTACGTACGTAAGTTGTTGTAAGGTTAACCGTACGTTGTAAGATTGACATATTTTTTTAACATTTTTTTTTTGGTGGTACCAAAATTAACTCTAGTAATACTTCGTCCAGGTTTGCCAAATACGCATTTCTGATTGTTGTTATTGTGGATTATTTAATGTTATTCTGAAACGAAATGCGAGAGATTATTGTCTAAAGCGGGTGCTATCACAAACGAGCGGAGAACTAGGATCAGTCTGCAAAAAAATATTCCTAAATGTGAATTCATTTTTAAATAAAAATGATATTTTTTACCATTTTCGCATCTAAACCTTATATTTTATTTAATCGCTCTAGTTTATTATCAATTTTTTTGTTCTTTTTATTTACTTTAGAATATTTTATTTTAAATTTACCAATCGTAAGAATTATATTTTAAATAAAGGAAATCATTATATATTCTCACTATTTCTACTGTCATCATCATTCTGAATTTTTAATGAAAAATTTAAAAAGTAACATGTTCCTTTTGAAACCTATCACCAAGGTGAAACTGCAACGTTGTTACAGAAAAATAACCGTTAATTCTAGTATAAACTACGCTAATGGGCCAAATTAGAGCTCGACATTTTGCCGATTGCCTAAAATACCGTAATCAATTGGCAGATTGTCCAAAGCCTAAAAAGTCCCAAGTCAAAAGCACTATATACTTTTAAAGTAAAGGTACCTATATACCTTTACTTTAAACACCAGAAATGCTGAATAATGTCACAACGTTTTGTGGTAAAGAATCACTATGTATGTATCTGTGTAATATGCAACTATTTGTATATAATATTGTAATTCACAAGTACCTACTAACTTTATCTTATGAAACAGTTTTGTAAATTTAAATATGCCACAAAAAACTTTGAAACATTATAAAGGCAGGCATGGTAATATCCTTTTTTTGAACATAAATTCCATTTATATCTATAAATAAGTATCTATCATAACAAGAGTAACACAACACTAAAATATTAATTTAGAACATGTTCGATCTTAATTTTCAATTAAATTGTATGTATGGGAATTTCGTTATTCTAAAGGTGCCACCCATTTCATGTAAATGGGCATAACCCCAGGATTTATGGTCGTAAAATTCAATTAATATCGGCATTTTTTGCTTGTGTAGCAAAGCAAAGGTTGTACACTAATTATGTAATGAGCTTGCTTTAATTATATGCCGGAGATTCTTTATGCGAAATAAACTGAAGGGTTAGATGGGACATGATTTTTAACATTATTCCTGTCTGTGGCATTGACTTTTCTTCTGTATGTTTCCATAAATTTCGGCAGATATAAATGCAAAGAGTTCTTGATACCTAATTGTTTCCAAATAAATCGCGCATATAATCATGATATATTTTTTTCTAAAACATTTATCATTTGTGTTATAAATAATGATTTTCAATTTCAATAAAAAATGTCATATTACCAAAGTGAAATCTGTAAATTTAGCTAAATAACGGCCACGCTTTATCTAGCCAAATATAAATTATTGGGAAATGGCAAAACAATGGTGGAAAAGTTGGAGGCAAATGGAATTTCGCTGATCGGCGATTAGAGCGGGCATGAAATCAAGGCGGAAGTCCTGCGGGACACATTTCAGCACCGTGCGATATTCGGCCGAGGCCGGACAGGAAAATACTAACATGGTTGCCAGTCGCCTGAATTTCTCACTATTTTTGTTTCCATCTACGTTTTCACACTTTCCACAAAACTCGCTATAATGAAAAATCAACGGAGTCACTGGAAAAGATTGGTATGATTCTCGCTGGTTTGAGGTATGTCCGGTGGAAAGGGTTAAAATTGCGAATGTTTTTCCTGAAGAATATTTTCTTCAAATATATTTCATTTCCATGTGCAATCTCGGTAAGAATTGTAACTTTTTTTCTTTTTCGCAAATGCGATTTAATTATGTGGCTTCATTATAAAAATATTGTTTTACAGTTAAAATTCGTGACATCAATACTGGAAGGGAAAATGCGAATCCTCAATAATATGTATTTGACTCTTGAAAGAGTGAATAGATGTTTTATCCGCTCTTTGGAAAACATTTTTGAAGCTAATGTAAACTTTCCCTGGATCAAATGGTGTCAATTAATTGTCCTTCGTAAGTTAATGGTTGCAGCTTTGAGCCTTTAAGATTTTTATGTTCTAACAAGTACTTAGTTAGTAGTGATATAAATTGGAAATCAGCTAAACTTGTCTGAGCAATATTAAAATACTCCTCAAACTGTTCAGATGCTGCTCGCAGAAATTGTATTTTATTTCAAATGTGGAGTTAGTAACAATTGCGAATTGCCTTGGAACTTTGAAGTTCACATTAATTTAAGAGGAATTCACTTAACTTTACTATAGCTTGTTTTAAGTTTTGCGGTACCATACATGTTTACCACTTTCTTTTACTTATTCAGCTGCATAGCGGAGTTGCTTCTTGGACTTAAACTTAAAACAAACAAATTGACGGTTTGCTCAAGATCAGACTCTAAATCTTGCTCTGAACAAAAACGAGAAATTGCTAAATGGCATTCAAATTCAAAGGGAGAAATATTCAAACAAAAAAAAACGCATAATCAAACGACATTAGAAAAACGTTAGCCTGCCAAGTAGGGATGATTCGATACAAGTAAATACAAGTAGGTATTCCATACTTTTAATTTAGATACCGAGTACTTTGGTAATTGAATCGTTCTTTCAATACAAATACGAGATTGAATATAATAGATCTATCTATTTTGGAGGGAGGTTCAAAATACAACAAAACAGTGCTGGTTTTAGCGATTTTCGTCTACAATTATTTGCGGCCTTCCAACATTGTGGAAAAAGAAGGATTTTAACGTCTTCCGAAAGTGCTTTAATTTAATTTTAAGGTACCTATCTAGCTTGGCTTATTTGAAAAAATGACCCCAAGAAAAACATGAAGCTTGTGTAGCTATAACTAAAGCTAAATTGTCAAAGATTATATTGGTCTCAGACTGGACATTTGGACAGAAGCAATGAACGAGCGAGGTTTCTTAGGTTTGAGATGTCATTTTCTTCAGAATAGTAAAATGCATATGCTCTATCTAGCTACTCGTACGCTCAAAGAAATATTTGCCCTGTTTGACTCACATAATAATGCCATTGTTGAAGAAGCTTTAAAATGACCAAGTGTGAAAATAGCTATATCTAAGGTTCGTGAAAATGTGCGTTGAATAAAAAAGATACGTATTAATGGTTCTGAACAGTCAGTTTTAAAACTTATTGACGATGTCAAAACAATATGAAACTGAATAATATTTTTGAAAAGTGACCCATTGGGAGACATGCAAACGGTATTTCCTAACTTTTATAAGTGAATGTCTATTTCCTAAAGCTGGTGCTGCTATGGCGCACAATAGAAAAAGCTTGTCCCCTAAATATTAGCAGCAACTGGTTTTTTTGGGAAACCTTCAGAAAGAATATTTTTTGTTTACCTTATGGTAATAAATGCATTAAATTATATTCCATGAATTTTATTACAATCGCTTCTTTAAACGGCTTTTTTACAGTTAAAATTCACGGTAATAGTGAATGTCGGTCTTGAAAAACTCATCGAAAATGTATACTTAAAATGTGTTTATGACGATTATACGTAGTCACTCAATATCGAGTCAGTCAATTAAATTGTGCGCAGGTAATGGTTTCGATTCTTCCCGAATACTGATCTGAGCAGTATTGCAAGACGATTTGGTTACTACTCATTTGAGTTATTATCGATACTTCCAGTATACTCATATGAGTAGTATCGCAAGATGATTTGGTTACTACTCAATTGAGTAACTATCGATACTTTCTCAGTATCGTATCGTCCCTACTGCACCTAAACCAAAAACCAGCACAAGAATTAAAGCAACTAAGCCAACCTTGTGCATCCTAATGGCTTCGATTTCCCCTTATGATAGATACAAAACAAATTTCTCTAAACATATGTTCATAATGTATTTTAGCTGCTGTTGTTTCGTTGACAATGTTGGAATTTTATTTCAGATTTTTTTAGCGTCTGTATGTGTAAAAGTGTTCCACTTTCTTTTCGAATGGACACATGTAGCCATGCAACCCTCAAGACTCCAAATTACGACCCTCTGCTACGCCGAGGGTAATTAAGAAGCCCCGGCGAGGGCAGCGCAGCTCTACACGAAAGCTTTTGGCAATTATACGTCGGTTTGATGGAGGCATTAGAGAGGCCCCTGCAAATTGCCGTGTTAACTAGCCGCCCTTTTGGAACTGTAAATTATTTATTCGGTATTGGACAATCTTGAGCCGTGGCAGTCACTCTAGTTTTATATCGTTTTGTATTCATTACAAAACTTTCTTTCAGGTCACATTTTGCATAGATACAATAGCCGCCTCCATTTTCATGATTTGACGCAGCCACTTTTTATTTATGTCATCTGCGTTTCAAACTGTATACCTGGCCATAAAACTCAAAACAAAAATACTAACTTTCCGAGAAAGTTTTTCCATGGCTTCCATTTTTTTGATTTATGTCCTGGGCCGTTATATTTGCCCGGCTCACTGATTCTGTATTCATTTTTGCGTTTTTTCGCTTCCCGTTGAAATGAAATGCGAGTTTGAATATATTTCATAGCGACAATGTCGCAGTTGTGTTTTTGTTTCCCAAATATTTTTTACATCCGTTGAAATCTGCTTTTATTTTTGCTGCACGGTGAGCCTCGGTGGTTGTCGTATTAATTTTGACGGGAAACGTTTGATCTATCTACCAACCCCAATCGCTTGACTAAAATTGTATCAAAGTACTTACCATTGATAATTATTATTTTCCTTCCCCGTCATTCGAGATGGACACCAAACATCCAAAAGTTACCTGAAAACAAACAGAAAAGAGTTACTTGTTGTGTGTGTTTATTTATTTATTTAACTGTCATTCTTTCCTATAACACATAGCTCTAAAGGAATCCACTTTGACCCTCTTCGCTACAGGAAACTTATTATGAAATCGGCATTAAAATGACATCCATTTTTTTCGGTTTCTTGCTAATTTAATCAATTTTCCAGTAGCGATTCTAATGAGACCAAGAGGAACTCGACCTCATAATTAATTTAGAATACCGACGTATTAATCGAAACAGCGATAAGGTGTGAAAGAGCTATAACAATAAGGAAAATGATGGCCAAATAAGCGCCTCCCTTTAAGAACCGTTTAAACTGCCATAAAATAAACTTTTACGACTATGTAAGCAAAACCCTCAAGTATATAAATTACGTTTTACGACGTGAAGATGGGAAAGCACCTTGTTGCCAACGCCGAAACTTTTCTATATTTTCCAACGGCCAGAAAGTTTATATTTAAATACAGCAAAAAGTGCGCTCGTTCCAGAAATGATGAGCCAGACACCAGACGATGAATTCGAATTGAACAGTTCCAGAAAGCTGAAGTGGGCACCGATATCACAAATGAAAAAGTCAAATTCTAAAAAATTTTATCGGACAAAATTTGTAATAGCTAAAGTTAATGGGGTGAACCCTGATACATTTCTGGTAAGTGCGTCTGGTTAATAATCAACATATTTTTAATTCAAGTGGTCTGATAACGTCAGTATGCAAATATGCAGCGTAGAAAATGTAAATAAAATAGGATTGAAAAAGTCCTCTTGAAAAAGTCCCATTGAGTACATGTTTAAACGTTTTCGAATTTTGCGAAAATAAAGTCATCAAAACTGAACCCACGTTCAGGTAGAGCAATCTCCTTGAATTCAACATACAAATGATCAAGTTGTGACTTATCGAATGGACCCTCTAGTAAAGCAAGAGTGATTAGATCCGGCAACAGTGGCAGAGTTTCACGAAAATTTGCTCTATTTCACACAGAGACATCTTTCGCAACGCTGCCTAACCTCTAACCTTACGGAATATTTAGTTCAGTGGATGTCCCAAGGAGAGAGCTTTAGTCAGAAGGGTTTGAAAAAGGTTGTGTGAAAAATGTGGTTTGAAAAAAAAAGAAGCTTAGTCATCCAGACACAAATATATGTAAGAAGCAAATAAATATTGAAACTAATAAAGACTTCATATAAAATACTAATGATAATACGAGTGCAACTCGATAAGTTGATATCAAAGTACCTAGTGATGTCGTTGGGTTTCCCGCAGTACTTAGTAAGGTCAATGTAGAGACTATGTTTCATGATAAAGATAGATAAAAGTAAGGCTTCTCTTGGGGAGGTATTTCGTTCCAGTTTTCCTTTATTACCTGACCCAACCTCAGAATTAGCATTAGCAATGTGCAACCACAATTGTAGCTTTGCTGGGTTCTGAAAGAGTTAAAGATACTGTGAATCAAAGTTTGGATCAGAAGTGCAAATAGACAACTGTTCGCTGCAAGTAGGGACGTTCTGAATTGAGCTGAATTTCCCATCGAGACACCTTAATGTTAACCAACGCCCTTAATTTGCTATTTTTTATTTTATTTATTAGCAAAATCATTTGCTAAACAATGAAATAATTGGTTATGGACTGAACTCTATGGAGTATAAGAAGAATAAAATTCTTGACCCCTTTATACCGTGTTATAATTGTGCATTGGCCATTGAAACAAAGCGTAATAAAATTTGCTATTTTTAATTTCACAGTGCATCGTTTCACATCAATAAAACATTAGATGCTAGAAGGACGGTTAGATTTTTAATGTCGACCATGCCAAGACGCACTTAAACTATAAATCCCAGATATATTAAGCAAAGTTACTAGCTGAATAAAAACATAGTTTCACCTAACGTTACTTCATGCATGATGATGATTTAGAAATATATATATATAGAAAATAGTGCTGCTTATACCAAAATTGGCTTATTTATTATTATAATAATGACTTAAGAATGAAACTAAGAATACTCGAAACTTAAAACTGTCCTTGCCAAAAATTGTGGCAACTCAAACCACAAAATAAAAATGAATGTATTTTCGTAACATTCCTATTATTAAAAAGTCTCAAATAAACAATGTTGTGGCACAACAATGTGAAGAGCTTTTGGCATTTACACTTAAACAAACAGATGAAACCGGTTGTTTTAACTGTGCCGCATATTCAACAGTAATCAATTATCCATGTTATAGTCTTCCTAAATATTCCTTTATGTCACGGTCATATTATAATATATATATAGCTGTCAGTAGATGTGTTAAGCCGCGGGATGTCCGTTCATTTGAATTGAAAATTTATCTTATTAGAGCATTCCATATTCCTTTAGCCACGACGCATTACTAAATCAAATATTGAATGCATTATATCCAAGGCAATAAATGTCGCTGAAAGGAGACACTTTATTTCCTATACTGGCTGTCAGTATTTTTTAACCTACTTGGGTGTATTAAGACGACTTGCTATTTTCTACTCTTAGTGCAAGAGGATGTCCGGTTCAAACCCAATAAAACAATTTTGAAAAAACGTTATTTAACGAAGCAAAATGGGATTCAGTAGGTACGATAAGTATCCAGAAGCCGTTTACCATTGCCATTCTGAATATGCCCAGCACTGTAGTACAAAACTTATTGCAAAATGAACGAAATGATGAACAGGGCTTTCCGAGCAAAATATTTCACAATGCTTATCAATAAATTCAAAGCAACTGCAAAACACCGTCAACAATAGTAAATAGTAAATACATTTTTTAAATTTTGATGTCAACTTATTCAATGAGTTCGGTCATAGCACTGAAATAAATATTTGGAAAATTAAGAACTCAGTAGATCAGAAGGCGAATTTGGAAATGCTTAATTCTAGTCGCTGCTCGATAATATTTAACTAATACAACAAAAAACGTTCGAACGAACAAATCATTTTTTATCTACTAAAACAGTTTTTTGCCACTTTTGAGTTTAGACGGCCTTTGTTGAAAGTAATGTTCAAGAGATAAAGTTATTATTTTATTGATTGACTAAAAGTAAGTTGAGAGACTTGAAAACAGGTTTATTCTTAAATTTGCATTGTTGATTTTATGGCCCATAAGAAAAAGGAGTTGATGAATTTATGCTAACGTTCAAGGGGATTATCCCAATATTGGATGTATTGACATACATACAATCTGCCAGCTTTCATTAGGTACTTAGCAAAATTGAAATAGAAATTAAAAAACAAACCTGCAATAGAAACAACTGAATTACTGCCTTTTGAACAGGGAATTCTGGCGACCAAAGGAATTGCATGAAAATGTTAGTGGCATTTCTACTCCTTAGTAGATCATGGAACATGAAATCACTCCTAAGAACAGAAGTGTACACTGAGTTTAGAATTGAACATAAATCTGATCTAACTTAAACCAATACAATTTATTCAATGTGGGCAGTATAAGATAAATTATAATTTCAGTATAACGCATGTTTCAAAATATGTAAGATATAACTTTTATAAAACAAACATTAAGGCAAGGAAGTTTAGTCACTTTTGTCTACAGGGCAAAACCAATTAAATCGTCCATTTCTCTTTTTCCAGATACTCAATCTTCGACTGCAAAAGGAAAACAAGAGCCAAAGTCGTTTTAGGCCTGAGTAATTTTCTTGGAAGATTAGTGACCAGGTTTTCCAGAAATCGTACAGCCAGAAATTACGTTGCCTACCATATATCACGATTGTTTTTTCGGTGCCCAATGGACCCGAAACGCTCTCAGGGAGGGGACCAAAAATGCTGTGCTGCAGCATACAAGCAGAAAAGGTCCGTTGAAAAGATTCGAGCAAAAATGCGAGTAATTTCTGCAAAGGTGATAAAAATGTTTTAATTGCTATAATCATAAATTCTTAAATATCAATAATCACATCTATTTCCTCCCCTTTTCACATGAATTCAAAATTAAAACAAATTCTACTTTCACAGTTAATGCAGATTTACAACTCATATAAGCTACAGTTAAGGTTTAATTATACTCAAGCAAAAAATTTACATCTTTAAGTAGTTATGTATGATATATCACCGACATTTACTTTGCCTTGATAAACACAGAAAATTACTCTCATTTGATAAATAGATTTTAAATTAATTATAATTATTAATGAAAAACATCCTACGCATCAGACAGCAAATTTATGATAGGCAACATTTATATTGAAACATTATGAACTAAGCTTCTAATGGTTAGTTCCACTATGATTATTTTAAACTGATACCTTTTTTAATAACTCTCTTAATTAAAAAGATATTAATTTAGTTGGGAAAGACAAAACACATTTTTCAGTAGGTTACTAAAAGTAGGTAAATTTTTAGATATTTATATTTTGGAATTAAGACGTCCTATATTTTGTGGCAAGTCACACATCATTAATTTCTCAGATTTAGCCAGTGTAACATACAGGATTTAAAGTTCCTGCTCAGAGCTAATTAATTGTCCAACATCGTTTTCAGTAGGGGAAATTAATACCTACGAACTCAATAGAGAATAAATTAATTTTTAGAGCCGATCAGTCCAGAAATGGGGTTTATAAGTAATATTATAGCAGCAAAAAAACGGCACTTTTCTCAATTAATTTTGCACCTTTCGTTTCCTAAAATTTTAAGCCGCTTATTTTTGGTATATCAGAATCGATTGGTATTCGGGTATAAAACGTACCCATTCTGATTTATTACCCCCCAAGCCTAATAATTTGGAATACTCCTAGATCAATCTCCATTCCAGTGAGAAACAATTTCTTGAATTTAAAAAGTTACCCACGCAACCAGAAAAAAACCATCTGCCATGTTATTAAATGTTTCGACATCTAGATTCCATGGGCATTCTCTCTATCCGTAATTTAAAATGGTTGAATCTTAATGAAACATTATTATTTTCGGGTCGTCCATTTTAGGAGAATCGAACGCAACCCACATTTCCAACAACTTAATAACATGTTAACTCTTGATTTATAGACGCGTTTATAGAAAAAATGATGGCGCAGTCGTTTGTATTAATACCGGCGGAAGCTCACATCCAATTCTTTCGGTAATTTAGTAAATTTAACTGGTTTTGTTCAAAGAAGAGAGGATCTATAATCATACTTAAATGATAGGTAATATTTTTGATAATAGCTATTCTAAGGGCAGTTCAGTAACCTCTCGCGACCAATTCTGGTTTTATTGCAGAATTACGTGCCACAGAATCTATTATCTGAAGAAGAAATCTATTCCATCAAGCTCTGTTTAAACATTACTTCTGAACAACGTTCCAAGTTTATCCACATCTGTTAAAATAGCAATACGAAACTGTATAAAAGCTGAGAGTGAGTGAGAAAAGTTCACAATATATCAGTAAAGCTCAAAAAGTCCGATCTGGTCCCCCACTTCCTACGCCAAAACCATTACAAAAAGCATTCAGATCCTTATGAACTCGAAAAATAGTTGTTATTGGAAAACTATTGGAACTGTCGACGAATACTCGGCATAATTTAAACGCGGAATATCAAAAGAATCATCAAATTGTCGGTTTGCTCTAAAATCCAATTGTCGGTTGCTTGGTGTCTTTTGGAGGCAGCATTTCCACAAACAACTTCGGCTAAATATGTCGATGACAACAACCAGTCGAAACTGTCTAAATTCTACCATTTTTAACCGAAATTGTGGAAGGTTCTTAAATCATCATTTGCTAATTTCAGGCATTCTGCTGCCAATCAAAACATGGCATTGTCAGGAAGAGTTCATACGTGGGTAAGAAATGGAATTCTTCAGTGCAAACCACCGAGAAACGAACAAAATAGGTCGGGTTGAATACAATGGTGTCCTTAAGTGTAAAACATTAATTTAACAGGTAGTGAATTTTGAGTGTACTCGTATTTCCAGTAAGCACAGAAGAGTATATCACTAAGTTTTTTAGAAAGGGTGTGAGTACGAATTTTAAAAATAACGGAATCTGAAAGTTACTTGTAATATAAACGGATTTTAAGGCAGAGGTAAAAAAATTTTATTATGAATTAACTACTGAAATCTAGTGCTTCGTTCACTTCAATGCCGCTGGCTTCATGTTTAAACATTTTATCAAAACTTGTTGCAGTTGATTGGTTGTAATGAAATGGAACAAGGATGGGAATTGTAGTTAGAAAATTTCGGAATACATTGGCTTGGAAACTACTTTCAAATGGGGACAACTTTCTGGCAAATACTCTGTGCTTGAGTTCAAATGAATATACTTAGCAAAACCAACACCTTAATTTCATTAAGAAAAAAATTATTAATTAATATTTATTAAAAATATATTAAATATCTCAAGTTTCAAATGTGGGTTCATGGAAATAATAATTGTTAATTTTTCTCAGTTTTGATACTCATTTTTTCACAAGTTTTACTATGTTGCTTGATTTCTCCTTAAGCAATAATTTATGCATTTTGGTTACGTTTTGTCGAAATCGAAATTTATCTAAAAAAATAAACCGTTTAAGGTAACATTGGTAAAAACAATATGTTAGTACAAACGAGTCATACCAATTTGAATTTCAAATAATCGCACAATTTCAGGCAATTGCATTAATTTTATTATAAGACAAATGACTTAGCAATTATGGATGAAATATGCCACGTATATATGAGTGAGCTGTTAGACGTATAGATTACCGTTTTTAATTAAATTTAATTTACTACCTTGATGTATTATTCATTTTTAGTGTATATGGTTGGCATTCGCATACAGCTTGGAGATGGTCTGTTAGAATGTTTATTATTATTTTACGCTCCACCAGTACTTTGGTATTAGAGAAGTTGTGCTATAAAAGTTCCTTATCCGGATTGTTTGGAGTCGAAATTGAAGATGGAAACCTACATTAGCTAAATATTCGTCGATTTCAATAGAAATATTTTTCACAGTGTTGCCGTTAAGTAGGTAAATTGACTATTCCTCTAAACATATTTGGAAAATAAACCAACAGCATTTTCCCTATCATTTTTTTAGAAAAAAATTTATCAGGCGTTCCATTGTTTAAAATCTGCCTATTTTAGAACATTTTTGAAGATATGTGAGTTTAGTTTTCTGATCATCCTCAGACAACAAGCTAATTTTTGTTCTTCCGGCCTGCTATTTTCCTAACTTGAACCATGTAGATTGATTTCGATTGTAGAATACTTCAACAATCACTAGGCATGACCCTCATTGTAAACACACCTACATGAAAACATTGCGGACGACGAAAACGTAAGTTCACACGACGAGTTATTTTTTCTTTCTTTAGCTTATTTCAATTTTAATTTTACTCACCAAGTCCTGACGTGAAACAGTTCATGTTTAAAAGAAACTATAAAAAGGTCTTTTTTTATTTTAAATACTGTAAACTTTCCTCCGCAAATATACATGCTTTAATAATAAACTTTCAGACAATGAATGCAAGCAAATTAAAAATCCTTTTTCTACTCACAAGTAAGCGGCAATGCTTAATTATAATCAATTGAATCCTACGCGAAGTCAATGTTGAGCATCACCCCAGAAAGGCAAAACGTTGTCACGGTTCGTATCTTTCGCACTTTAAACGCGGCGGTTGTGTGAACCTGCCTTCAGTTTTGATGATGGTACAGTGGCGTAGCAGAGCTTATTTGCTTAAAATGAACAACTATAATCATTTTAAACATGCTTACTGAATCCGCCTCTATTTATGAGTGGTGTGTAAGATCGTAAAAAATATCGAGATTTGAAATTGAATAAAGCACTTTCAAAGTGATAAACAATTAGTCAACCTTTTGTGAAACTCAGCACAGCGGTTTCTTCTCTGGTTATTTTTATTGTCAACAAAATATGTATTTCCACGCACTTCAAACATATTAACTGCAAAAAACTTCGCTTCTTGACCTTTCTAGGTGTAGAATAACTAGGTAATACTTTTGTACATAAGAAGTTCCTCCACAATCTTATGCAATATAAACGATAAAACTTTGATATGGAAATATCAAGTTTGCCTTAGTTATAAATGTTTTCGTACCACTCGACGCAATATCCAACTGTGTGTCAAGGAAAAATATGAAAGAAATCCTATTGCAATGTAAATTTTTTTCTTTGACCGACAATCCACTATAAATTTATTCTAAAAATGGATTTATATAAAAGTAAACCGTCATAACCAGGGTCAGACATATATACTCACTATAACATATACAAACACAACTACACAAAACAGAGGGCACGCAAGGCACGGAATCGCACGTGTAAAATATAATTTTTTAAAAGTGCAAGCGCAGAAATGTAATTTGCGTTATGAATTTATGACTGTTTACTTTTTATTGTAATGCTTCGTATATTTTACACGTTTTTTGCTCAGGCATTATTTACGGCTTAACGGGAATGTTACGCGTGCATTTTATTGGCTACAATTAATTTAAAAAATGAATTTATTTGTGCTGCCGAACTGTATGAACCTACACCGATTTCAAGTGATTTCCATTTATGTAAATAATTTCTAATGGTCGTCCCGTTTCATTTAGGTTCATATTTATAAAAGATCTGCAGAAAATTCTAATTGTTATATGAGGCAGTAATCGAACCAAAATAAGACCATTAAAAAATAATAGTGCCTATTTTAGAACATCTGGACGAAGAACAAAGAAAATATATTTGATGACAACTTTTTCATATCGGCTTAATGTTATAAAAAGTTTATTTTACGTGAACATTTTTCGAAAAGCCGAAAGGAAAATAATAACAACGTTGAAGCAATCACATCGGTCAAAAACATACCACTGAACAATAGTTATAGCAAAAACGTTCAGAGGAATAAACAAATAACGAGCGTTTCATTGAAATGAACATTTTTTACTGCATCTTTTTATTAACACAGACAGAATTTTTCAATTATATGAGAACTTTGGAATATATTTCAGTAATGCGGACGAATAAGCCCTCTTTGTTTTCCTTCTTTAACACAATGGTGAATGAGCATTATGCATTTTTGAACAGTAACACAACTCCAAAAGTAAAGAGAATCACTGACATCTGTGGAGAAAAGTGAAAATTGTAGCTTTCTCCGGTATAATTTTCGGCTAAGGCCATGGCAAATATTCCCTCTCTAGAACCTAGATCCTCTATTTTCGGACCGGGTTTACAAACACTTTTCAATTATAAAACCGCTTTTCAGCGTGCACATAGTAATATAGTATAAAAATATAAATAATCACAAATTATATCACCGTAAGCCCTAATTTCAAGTTACGTTAGTGCGTGTGTATTAAATTATTTGTCGGTCGATTTAAAGCCACTTTTACAGGATTATTTACCAAATGAGCGATTATGACAAATGTTTTCCAGAAGTGAAGTTAAACATAACAAACACATTCCAGTCTGAGCAGCGATACAAAAGTTTGCTCCATTTTTAGTAAAGATTAATTAAAATTGTTGAGCGAATAACCCAGAAACAAGGTCATAAATGAAGTTGTTGTTACTAGAGGAACAAACAGAGTCACATAATCACAATATCTATTAAGAACTGTTGAATCGCAAACAGAAGATCTAACGAAGACTAACAAGATGGAAAACTCACAGAGCAAGATTCATGTGTTATCACTTAGACCACAGCAAATAATGAAATTCCAGAACTAATAGAAAAGCACTTTTAAAATGTTTTGATTCAAATCAACAAAATCTAGGAATTTTAAAGGATTTTAATTTTGAGCTTTCAGAAGCAGTAGGTAACCTTCGTAATAAATCATAAAGTAAAGAAAGCACAAAACCCATAGATCAAATTAGTCAGACCCGTATTCTTATTACATTATGAGTTTTCCAATGAAAGAATCATGGTATTATAAACCAAAGAATCCTTGAAAATATTGCTACATTAAGGAATTTTACTAAGAAAATTTTATAAACATGTATCTCTGTTAAGATTATAAATTTCCAATACTTATTTAATTCCTCTTCAACCAAATCTTTGACTACCTAAAAAAGGTTTAGAAAGTCATAACGGTTTCGCACTAAAATAGAACTGCTTGATTCATTACTGAAATTTATAATGCATAAAATTACGCATGGTAAGCTATCTTTTATCTGCACAAATTAGCATTTTAACTAGTGCCCCGGCTCGTTCAATAAGAGAGTCAAGACAAGAAGGCAGCAGGTCTATTCAAAATAAGAAATGAGAATGAGATTTCAATCTTTTATTTGCGCCTGCAAGCGGTTTCGATTCAGAGTTGTTCTCGCTATTCTTTCATGCTATGCCATATCATCTACAAATTCTCGATATGGCGGACAGCACAATGGCTCAGCGGTGTCCCAACAACACCTTGAATGCGCTATATCTGATCGTTCATATCCAGATTGTTGGTACCGCTACAGGACGTGTCATTATCAAGGACAGACATATGGAGGGACATGTCTTTTTACTATCTAAACTGAATAGCATTTTAGCGTCTAGTCAAACCCATTTCAAATGCTTTACAGGAAGTATAAACGTAGTTTCGATAAACATTTGTATCCATACATTTCACGAATATCAATAGTTTTACTAACTAAAAGTATTTTGAAGTGTATTGGCATACCAGTGTTTGCTTAAATAAGTTAAACCAGACAATTCGGAATTTATGTTGTTTATGATGTTATGTTCTTAATTTTAAATTTCTGTTGTTAAATAGTGTGTGCTTCATCATGGATATATTCAATGGAAACTAGAAGAATCACTATTTACCAAATTATTTTACTTCTTTCATTAACTTATGAAACCAAGTACTTTTTCAACACTTTTTTGCAATAATCTGAAGTCTTGTGTGAGTTTCTTTAATTCTCTTCAGTTTATTGTTTGATTTTATTTTCTGCGGTCAATAAAGTTTAACATTTTTCGGCGCCATTTGTCGGAAGTTTCTAAAACAAACTGCCAATTTGTGATCTCATTCTGAGTTTAGCACATACATTCAATTTCAGATAGGCAGTATTTTGATAGAGTCAAAAAAAATTTCATAGTTCAAAGGAAAGTTTCATCAAAATCAATATCAAATTGAAAATTTACCGGAACGCATACTGATTGGCAGACTGGGATCTACTGAATCACCACCAGGGTTTCCAGGTCCGAATATCAAGTTTCGGTAGATAAGCTCGACACTTTTCGGTAGAGAATCGGTAGACTCATTTTTCTTTCATTATTAAGGGCTAGAGCTCGTTGGGTAGTCCAAAACCTCACCAAAACAAAAGGCTCCATAAAATCGCTCGTTTTTCAAAACTTGAATTTTTAAACTTACAGGAATACTACAATAAGCATGAGTCAGTAAAGAAGTAAAGATGAAATTGTGCTCGTTTTTAGCTTATTTCTCAACTTAGTTTTCATTAGATTAACCTGTGAAAATATCCGTTCAACATTGGCTGATGAGTGAGGTGGAATAAGCAGGTTACAAATAAAATTGGTTAAAATTTTATTCACATTTTCATAAGAAATAAAAATGGCCATCCAGGTAGTAAAACCATCACATCGAAATATCTGGCAAGTTCATATTAAAAACACCCGGAAATAATGAAATTAGATCTTGCTCGACATAATTTACTATGTCCAAAACAGTTCCCGGATGGATACGGAATTTGGATGATTTAAGTCGCATGTTTTGATGTTTTTTTAAACGATTGTTAGTATCAATTGGAGTAATAAAAATGATATGAAAGACGAAGGACGAGGCGATGGGCAAAGGGCAAAAACAGCAAAAAGGCCGCGACTGTCCGACCGGCACTCCGATCGATAAATCAGTCAGAGAGTGACCGGGCGGACTACGGCCATGATTTACGATCGAACCGCCACTCGCGCATGTGATTATTATTATAATAACAGCGCCTTTTGATACCTTAGCCTGAAGACGAAGGCAGTCATGACCAGTGGCGGATCACCATAATCCTAGTTAGCTCATTTTGTACATAGATAATGCCTTCTGCTTGTTCGTAGATAATGGACTCACACTCTGGTCATCAATGCGTCGATCGTTATAGACGCATCGACATTAGTTAATTTTTCTACCTCGACCATAAGAGAGTTGATGATTTGTTGAATATTATCTTTTGATTTCTAGGGGCAGCAGTGCAAGCAACATTTGCTCGATGGAATGGTGTAATGGGTTAAAACGTCCATTAATATTGAAAATATGAGGAGCTCTTCACGACTTGATTTGACGATTATCCGATTAACTTTGGACAGCACGTGTTTAAGTCATTTTTCCACTTGTATTTTACCGAATGTCAGAGTATCTGATAATTCTTTACAATCCCGCTTTATCCGGATTTTATTAGTGAAAAAGAATATACACAAGAAAATCATGAAAGCTCAGCCGTAACAACATTAACAGTTTCAGTTTATTCTACAAAAGAAAATTTGCGTTGCATGATCTCAATCTGTAGCTTTTTATATTTGAAAATAAGTATTTAATATTAATTTGTCTTCTAGGTAGAAGATTATTAATTTGGACGTAAATTTTATGTTCTAGTTTCGGCTAGGTAAACCACCCAGATTAAACCAACACGCACCGCACGAACCCAATAAACAAATCGAAATTAGTGAATTTTGGTAAAGATTCTTGGTACGCCAAGTTTCAACTTCCCAGAAACACTAGGACTTTCCTTGTGTTGTCTACAGTAAAATGTGTCTCCTTTTTCCAAAGCAACTCATAAATATGTAAGAAAAATTGTACTTTTCGACGTCAGAATTAAACTCGAACTCATTTAAGGTCAGGAATCCAGGTAGGTTAGTAGCAAACAGTAGTTAAAGCAAGATAACAAATTACTACATTAGTAGCACTATTATTTTACAGAGGGCACTAATTGCCAATCTAGCACGTAAAATTTGGATAAGAGATCTCACATCGTCTTCAAACGGATTAAATGTCGCATACAAGCATCATAAAGCTGGCAAAGACATGTTGCATTGCAATTGAGGCTTCTACGTTGGGTAAGATTCTCGCAACAGTGCTGCTAACAAGAAGTGAAACTTTTTGACGCCTAAGTAAAGATTTCCTAGCGTGAAAGGCAAAACCTGTCTTTTTAGTAAATGGAGTGTGCACTGAAAGCAGAAATGCTGCTTGAGATAAAGTGTAAACAAAAATGTTCAATTTCATGACCCTAAAACTATTTTGGAGTTTGTTAGGACCTCTGCAAAGAAAAATCTTCGTGGAAGGAACTTAATCGCCAAAAACTGACGACAAGAAAGGAACACATGATCCGTTCAGAAGAATAGCTAAAGATATCCAACCAATAAAATGAACTGCCTAAGAACATACTAAGAACTGCCTAAGAACGTGACTGATTGCTTTTCCCAAGTATTCTACTGATTGTACTTTTTTAATGGTTTTACCAGATGCAGGTTGCTCCTTGCATGCATTTTCTCCAATGCATTCGATGCATTACATGCATCGAATTCATTGGAGATAATGGAGCAGCTAAAGTACTGACTTGTGCACTTATTTGTATTTTTATGGGTTTGCTTTTTATCTATTAATCCATGAGACAAGTTACTTTCCAGCCATACATGTAAATAAAGTATGCTATTAATGTGCTATACATTATAATCGTAAGAGCACTGCACTGTCCACCTATTTTGCGTCCTTTCTAACCTTTTACAGACATGCTTCAAATAACACTTTATCTTCATCACTTTTTAGCTTAGTCAAACCTGCTTGCTCTATCCTAGGGCAAGTGAGACGGCAATGTCTATCTAACGGTTTTTTAGTACATTTTTTCAAATTGCAGACAATTTAATATGTACGCAATATTTCGAGTAACCGTTATTGCATTGCCAGAAGGCTGGCAAAAATGTACCTACAAAGAACAGGAGAGAAGAAGACAGAAAGTCTGCCAAGCTATGAACCATTTGATTGGTTGAATATATGTATAACTATTGACACCATTGGTTGAATATATGTATAACTATTGACACCATTGGTTGAATATATGTATAACTATTGACACCACATAGGTAGTTTTTGAGAATGAAGTTTAACAATTAATCTAATCATAAATAGAATTAATGATGCAGTGAAACAACTCACAGTTTTCAAAAATAAGCCCAACAACCTCATTGATTTTTATAAACTGTTGGTCAGGTCCAAATGTTTCTTTCTGGTTATATCACTTGGTAAAAAATCCGTCAATAGTCTAGCCTGTTTTCCTTAGCTTTTGTCCGAAAGAAATGTAACATGAATGAATATGTAAATGTAAGAAATAAGATGTGCTTTGTCTAGACGACATTTTAACAAGAAAACTTGCTAATTGATTTTATTATCAAATAATTATTAATTTTTTTAGAATCAGTAGGTTGTTTAATTTCACATTGCCTATATGTTTTATCTGTTATATGTGTGCTTCCTCACTCTCATAAGATTTGCATAATTCATCCCCGCATTCGCAAAGTGAAACCAGATGTTAGTTCGGATTAAAAAAACACTCATACGATTTCCAAATATGGTATTTCAAAATTAAACCGCTAGACGAAAACATCTGTAAAGATGAATACATAGTATAGATGAACATAAATTCAAAAAACTGGATCAATCAATTAGACCAAATCAAGTTTGAAACTATAAAATTGCATTGGTCTTTTTTGGCTTAACTGATTTTCTCATTTCAAAATATTCAGATTATATTTTTAAATCAAATTTAACAGATCTGAAATGTTTTAGTGCCTTTTTTTGTTTTCTGGTGCATAAAATTACAAATTCGATGCAAATGTTAGTATCTAATATCTGTTAGTCAGCTACAACTCAACCTGTTTGAAAGTTTCAACATGTTAAAGTTTCGTATTAAATAAGATACTTTCATTTACAACAAATACCTTTAACTGCAATGCAAAAAATGGTCCGTTTTCTATTAGTTCTCTCTAAATTTCCGGAAATTTTTAACTTTAATAAATTAGATAATAAATAATTTAATAATTTCAAAGAAACGAATGTGCAAAGAAATTTTGGGTCGAGACAATTTATGTCCAATCAACAATAGTTAGTAGTAACTACACACAATTTGCTTTAATTCTTTAGTTTATTTTATTTCGAACTTACATGTTTAACAGTTCGGTGTAAGATACGCATCAACATAGTATTATGCATATTTTTAATTTTATACAATTAAGTATAAGCTTAATCGCTTCTTTGTATTAACGCTTTTATTTGACAAATAATCTCGAAAGGTTTTTTTATTATCCACAGATTTAGAAGGTAATTTTTGCAAATAAATCGTTTGTTCATAAAAAAATCGACAACAATAATAGTGTCTTTGAAAATGAAGAAAACCATATGGAGTTCTACGTATTTTATTGTTTAAGAATCAAAATGTTTTCCGGTTGAACAACTTCATGACTGCTTGTACTGCAAATGTTATCCGCTGATAAAATGTACAACAAAATTAATTAATATTTATTATTATCCAATTAGAATAAAAATACTTATACACAGCGTGATTAAATTTGAATTACCTACGTCGATCTTTGTTTTCGCTTCCATAAAAAACATTTCTAAACTTACGAGTTCCTGGTAAATCTAGTCATAGTTGTCACAAAGACGTAGCTTGAACCATGCAAAGTCTTCCATAGAAAAAAACCCATGTGCCACCATAAACTAATAGTAAATATTAATGTACACATTAGTTTCGCGGCGATGGTGTAAAGATATGCACCAAAATCCGGTAGCTGGAGCTCCAGTTAATGAGCTTATTAATATTAAGTTCAAATAATTATTCCTAATATTGTTTCTCGTGTGCCAACTTTCTCATTGGGCATGAAGTAAAACCGCAAAGACCAATTAAGGCACCATAAAACCGGCACGTAACAAATTGCTTATTACAATAAGTTAAAGTACTAATAATACGAATTAGTTTTACAAAATTGATGAGTACTGATTAATTGCAATTACGGTTGCAAGTGAGCTTTTTGTGCATAATATCCATGCGAAAACCATCATTATGTAATGAGCCGATATGTGATAAGCTTATTAAAATATGTAAAGTCTGAAATTATTAATAAACTTAATGAATATAATTTGTAGGTAAACTTTTACATTTTACAGTAAGCTGTCCATCATATAAAAAAAGGGTGGTGTTAAATTTGTAAATGTTATTTCAAGACCAGGAAGCAAACCCATAAACAACATTGAGCTGCTACTGTCGGCGTCACATTAAATGGTCGTAAAAGTCATCATAAAATCATACGAGATTTTGGAACCTTCTCATAAAACGGCCATCTCAAGTTGATGAGCTATTTGCTTCTGTTTTAGAGACCACCTGTGTTTGCCAAGCTGGCTAGTAGAAAATTGTTTTAGCATAAGCAAATGAGATATTTTTTTTAAATTTGCTTGCAGGTCCTTTAGAACAGAAAATATTATGCAAGAATGTGTTACTTTTCCACTTCTGACTGCTTTCTGGATGACCTTTCCCGAAATTGGAAAACATTAAATTTAAATACCTAGGGGTTCAATGCTTACACATACATTTTTAAAGACTTGGTGTTTAGATATTTTCGTATTACACGTGCCGTGTAATTTGTCCATTTCGATCCATTTTCCTCTACTTAAACATTCATCCACCATTGCGTCTACATAGAAAAATTAAAAAATAAATTTTCGAAATATCGGAAAACATTTAGCATGATTCCGACAAGGGAAATATAAAAACATATTAGCTTCACAATTTGCGTAAGTTCTAATGCTCAAACTATTCAGTAAATTGGAATAACGTAGGTAAATAGTGCAATTATTAAATTGTTACTGGTATTTAAAGTGACGACGTAATTGTACACTTCCTATATTAGAGCGCGATAAAAATCATGCTTATTAAATAATTTGAGCAAATAATAGGGAAAGAAAGCACGGAACATGCACAGAATAAATATTACCCATAATAAGCATATTACATCCGTTGTTAAATCTTGTTAGATCGTAAATATGTGTCGAATCCGTAAATACCGGTGTACGTTTCCTTGTAATTCAATGGAAACAATAAATAATATTTAAATATTTCACTCGACACTGGAAAAATGCATTTATTAATACCATAACATAACACGAGAGAAATGCTTGGAATGCACACCGTGTAGGTAGAGTTTTAACGAGAGAAATTATGTCTGTTTTGCCAACTTCCGCAGTTCAACTAAAGCACAATTATCTTGTCTATATAAAGAAAACCCAAACACTTTTTAGTGCGAGTTATTTGAAAAAAGCATTTCCTAATTGGTCTGATAATTGCTTCTTCAGAAATGTCAGTTTTCAATAATTTCAACCATAAAAAACCTAAGCTGACAAGTAAACAGCAGAAAAATATAGTCACTTTAAAACAACAGAACCAGCAATAATAAATTTTGCAAAACCAACATAGTGGCAAATTGCAAACTGCACCTGGCTAACAATCTAATAGGAAAATGACAATGTTCACGGAATGTATAATATATTTTAGATTAACTGTACAACTAACGAGTTGTTCGCTTCATTGAACAGACCTGAGTTATTGTTGGTCGCCAAGTAGGTTGTTGCAGTTCAAGATTTGCCTCCGGGCGACATACGAAACAATAATGTAGCTTTAAGTTTAAAATAAATATTCGAAATTGTACATGTTACGCTTGTAATATATTTTGTTAATAAACTAGAATTAATATATGTACCTATTGCAAAAGATCCATTTGTAACTAGAATATAACTTTTTTTTCGGATCAGGCGATGCACTAGTAAACCCGCAACATTGAACATTTTTACAACTACGTGTGAAGCCTCAACTGACCCTCCACAAACAAACTCTCTCAAATAAATATGTTCTCCAATAAATTACTATTTGGAAAATTTTCCATTAATTAGGTATTCCATTCTTAACGGTTAAAGTTTGTAAAATATTTAATTAGATGGTAAATCTTATCTTTTTAAGTAGCAAGTAGTCAAAGTTAGTTAAAAAACGTACATTTTACATTATGATTAAGTTTTAGCAAATTTTCAATTTACCTACTATCACGCTTCATAGTGTTTCCTCTGGATTTCTTTCTTTTTATGGCTTCAGGTTGTCTGACGTGAATCTGAAACCACTGAGGAAGAAATGAAATAAAAACGAAAATATGAAATGTGGCTCTCAACAATTATTATACATATCGCTAATTTTTGGCTAAATAACTAACTACTAACTAAACTGAATTTACTTCATTATGTAAATTTTGATTTTTTAAATTTAATTACTTAAGTTTTATTTAATAACTTTTTGTTTTGAAATGAAGTATATTACGATGGATGTAGGTAGACAAATAGATGTTTAAAAGTATTATTCATACTGTTGTTGAAATGTTGTTTGTATTTTAATACGATTTGCAGAAGAAAATGTAAATCTTTTTGGTTAGGAGGATTTAATTGAATGTAACTTTTCTAAACATTCTATAGTAAAATTTATCATTGGCTATTTTGATTAGAACAAAAGTAATAGAAAATGTCTTCAATATCAAGAAAAAAGTCAGGAATTGAACTGTCAATTTTTACATAAGTAAGCTTAACATGTACCTACATTAATTATATACGATTCTACAAGACCCAAATCTGAAACAAATTCAAATTCTAACTTTGTTTCGTACCACTGCAGTGAACCATCGCATTTTTTTTATATTTATATTTTTTGTTGACGGACTAAAACACCTGAACTGTTCTATCCGGTATAGATATTTGGATACAAATTGTTATGTTATATTTTGATCAAAAAACATGGAGTTTCCCAAACAAATCATAATTTCCTCTCAATTTTGGACTCTTCAATCTTTCTATATAGCTTTTCTACGCAAGTAATAAATATCCTCGTTCAGTTATCTATTGCATTATATATTTGTTAATTTGCCGCTTTTCCTTTTTAGAGCAAAATTGAAAAGAAGAAGCTCTGAAGAATTTCTAGCGCGTTATTCAAAAAAATTAAATGTGTGTAGCAAACACCTGTAACGTTTAGTTGAACATCAGAGTGAATAAACCCCGCTTCTTTTTTTCTTATGAATATGCTATTAATAATAGAGCTTGAAAAAATTCCAATTTTCTATGAAAAAATTCGAACGCATTATCAAAATATCACTATTAAAAAGATGGAAATAAATTGAAAAGAAAAAGTCAGTCTCATAAATATATTTAAAAAGTTAACGAAAATATTATAGAATTTGACACAATCACTATAGATTTTGTGTTTTGCGCCACCTAACGTAAGCTTTCAAAAGTTCTTTGCTTCAATCAATAGCCAGCCCTGCGTTCAAAATCACTAACATTTATTCCAGTCTACCCTTAGCTTATTGATCCCCATCCCTTGGCGCACCGGCTCTGAAACTGCTACAGAGATTTAGCGATAGAGGGCACCCGTTCATCTGGTGGAAACAACTCAAAGTAATTCAAAGAGGGATTCTGTTCGAAAGCAATCGATTTTCGGAGCCCAATCTGGCTCTATAGAAGATTGAACGTATGTCCTAGTTAGAGAATTGTATACTAGATGGCAGCTGAGCAGCTACAGTTGGAGATACGAATTTGAAAAATCACAAAGAAATGGCAAACCTGGGCAAATATCACAGCTAGTAAAGCAAAATACTTAATTCATTTCCAATTTAATGAGCCAATCAACATTCAAAAGTCAGGCCCGGTCCGCTAAAACTTTAGCATTTTAACGCCTGATTAGAATCTAAGTTACGACATTGGCCGTCCTGCATCAACAAAAATTTTAGTCAGGTATCGGAAGAGTGTTATTGTTGTTATTGGTCCTCATTGCTAGACAAAATGTTTGCATGAAAGTCGCATCGGCTGCAGGTCGGAATTTAGAATGCTTCATTATGTCTGATATTCTGCATAATTAGAGTGGGTGCCTAAATTTTTGACTTTCGGGACTTAACAGAGTTAATTTTGTTTGCTGGTTAAACTTGTTAAAAAATGTCCGTTTTACAGTATCAAGGGAAACATCAATAGTGAAACAGGAAAATCTAACTGTGGTAAGTGGTAAGAAAATAATTATTATTTTAGACGCTTATGGTAATCTTGAGCAGAAAGGACCAGTGATAATGTGCAATTAATATTAATGGTAAAGATTTCTAATAATAACAGGGAGAGTTGAATGTTCCGAACGGTTTAGAAACGTCATATGGAGATAAGAATACGAAACATTCTCCATTTCCACGGGATCTTAAAGATTGTACCGGAGGATTCCCAAATCAAAATCTTGATGGTTGTGTTGAAAAATTATATTCGAATCAAATAACTAAGCGAATTTGACGAATACTCTGAAGAGGCGTATCTTCAGAGTATTCGTCAAATTCAACCATTATAGTAAATTTTATCAGAATGTACTTCTTAAGAATCGTATCAAAAAATGATAAAAAATAAACATATTGTATAAGAATAAAAACGCTGACAAATAAATTATTTTAATAGCTGGCCAAGATTTTATGTTTTCTTTAGGCAATTATTTTCGGCTTTATTGCATAATATATCTCTGAAACTATCTGGAAGGACACTGAACACTTCTTCTTCTTCTTCTTCTTAGCGTACCTTATCCGTCGCGGACGTTGGCTATCAACATGGCAATTTCAATTTTATTGACCGCATTACTAAATAGCTGTATAGATGCAAGTCCAAACCACTGGCGTAGATTTTGCAGCCATGAGTGTCTTCTCCCTCCTGGTCCTCTTTTACTGTTGATCCTTCCTTGAGCTATTAACTGGAGTAGACGATATTTTTGATGTCTCATTATGTGTCCGAGGTATTCCAGTT